ATAATTTTTACAATATTCTATAAATTCTACCGAATGTTTGGCGTTAATATGTTTGTAGTTCGTTTTTTCTCACTAAATCGAAAATACTAACTACAAACATCATAACGCCAAACATTCGGTAGAATTTATAGAATATTGTAAAAATTATGGTCCATTACCAACATATATTTATATATGTATATATATATATATGTGTGTGTGTGTGTGTGTGTGTGTGTGTGTGTGCGTGCGTATAGATGACAAGGTTAATGAATGACCTTGCAAATTAAGCGTTGTTGCCCGTGAAAAGTCGTAAAAACGAATAAATTTATTTCTAAAAATTATCCTCAGAAACTTGATTTATGGCTCAGAGGCTATCTGTACGAAGAATTGAATAAAAAATTTTGAGGAAGAAGTGTAGTTGAATTTAGCAATGTGAAAATGTACATACTACATATACTACATATATAAACTTATATGTATATATATATATATATATGTGTGTGTGTGTGTGTTTGTGTGTCTGTGTGTGCGTACGTGTGTGTGTGTGTACATGCATTTTCACACACACACAGAGTGCGATTTTTAGCAACATTATGCGTTTATTCACTCTGCAAATGACTGACGTTGACGTCAAAATCGTTTCGTTTCGTTTGACAGGAAATTATATCTGTAATATTTTGTTTTTTTTTGTATCCACATGTTGCATGTACAGTCAGTGTAGTACAGTACATGTGTATAAACTAGTACAGTGTGTACAGTTTTGTAAGCAATGTAGATAGAAGCTGTATGTTAAGTATGGTTCTTTCATTTCGTTGATAAATTATAACAATGTCTGAGGTTTCGAACGAAAGCATTTCATCCCAATTTTACCGAATCTTTAACGGGTTTTTCAATAAGTGATGACGATGACGACGATGATGATGATGATGGTGATGATGATGTTGGTGATGATGATGATGATGACGATGATGATGATGGTGTTGGTGATGATGATGACGATGATGATAAAGTTATTAAACCGAGTAACTTGTTTAAACAACCGTGCGTGAAATATTTTTCTACTGCGTTGGGTTTGAACGAGAATTCTTGAAATAACTAAGTTTATTTATTTTTATATTCGTAATAATAAATATGAATGATAAAATACTATAATAATAAAATAATATAATTATAAAAAAAACTATTACGTCCTCATCATCATCATTATGATAGCCATTCTAATCGTCACCATAACCATAATAAAAAATACTAATTTTATTATTATGACGTCATAAACGTCATCATCAAACAATTTCACCATCATTATCATCATATAATATCACCCCCGCCATCGTAATCACCACAACCATCATCACAACCATCATCTCCTTCATCATCATCTTCTTTTTCATCATCATCATCTTCTTCATCATCATCATCTTCTTCTTCTTCTTCTTTTCATCATCATTATCATCATCTTCTTCTTCTTCATCATCATCATCATCATCTTCCTTATCATCATCATCATCGTTTTCACCATCATTACCAGCGAACAAACGCTTGCATTTGTGAATGCGTGCGCGCGAATCAGCGAGAACCAGTCCCGACCAGTCTGCACAAGGGTACGTCTTTGTCATTAGCCAGCAGAGCGCCATAATTGCTTTGTTGTTGCTGTTGTTGTTGTTGCTGTTGTTGTTGTTGCTGCTGCTGTTTTTGTTGTTGTTGTTGTTGTTGCCGCTGCTGCTGCTGTTTTTGTTGCTGTTGTTGTTGTTACTAATTTTAGCATCAGGCCATATAATATTTTGATCTTTGAAAATTTTTTACGTGATGAACAATAATAGTGTTTATGTATGCATTTTTGTCTACACGTGTGTATGTATGTTTGTCGTGTCTCTTATATCTGTGTGTATATGGATGTATGTATGTGTGTCGGTATGTGCTGTGTGTGTATGTGTGTGTCTGTATGTGTGTATGTGTGTGTCTGTGTGGGTGTGTGTGTAAGTGCATGTGTAAATTATCTAAAAATACAACAATGAAGATATAGTATAGTTAATACATTTACTACATTACATATATTTATTGTATATTATGGCCTGATATTATTGTTCAATATGATGTATTTATTATTGTTGTGTGTGTATGTTAAATTGTGTGTGGGTATGTATGTATGTTTGCCTGTGTGCATATTTATGTATGTCTGTGTGTGTGGGATTGTCAGTGGATACGTGTATCTGTATTGGTATGTATAAATTTGTGTGTTAAGTTAACGTGTTTTGTATGTTGTTTGTGTACTGTGTTTGTTTGTGTGTGTTTGTATATATGTATGTGTGTATGCCTAAGCGTGTGTGCGTGTGTGTGCGTGTGTGTGTGTGTGTGTGTGTGTGTGTGTAGTGTCTGTGTGTGAACATTGTTTTCTAGTTCTAAAAATACATTTAATAGTATTTTTAATAATATATTCAAAGCATTGAATTGTTTAGTTAATTTTCACTTTGTGTTAGTCGGTCGGTTGATTGATTGGATGGTTGGTTGGTTGGTTGGCTGGCTGGTTGATTGGTTGGTTGGTTGGTTGGTTGGTTGGCTGGCTGGTTGGTTGATTGGTTGGTTGATTGATTGGTTGATTGATTTGTTGGTTGGTTGGTCGGCTTGGTAGGACCTATAATGCGATACAAGCTCGGCAAGATAAATAACTTGTTTTGTGTGGCTGTGTCTCGTTCTACCAGCATTACTCTGCTGGTGTGTGAATGAAAAGTTTATTGGACAGGTTGTTTAAATCTCTCTCTCCCTCTCTCTCTTTTCTTCCTAATTTATTTCTATCCTTTCTCTTTCTTTCTTTCTTTTTTCTCTCTTCTTTTTTTTCGCAATGTTTTTTCTCCTTCTCTTTCTATTTAATTTTATGTCATTTTCTGTCATTTTTCCTCTCTCTATCTACTTTCTTCTCTCTTTTTTTCATTCTCTCTTTTTTAACACTCTCTTGTCCTCCTCTTTTTCCATGTACGTGAACGTACGTGTGCGTGTATATATGCAGGCGTGTTAATGTCGTGAGGTGTCGTGTCATTCATAGCTTCTCTCTGCGTGCGTGTGTGTATGTATGTACGTATGTATATGTGTTTGTGTGTAAGTGGGGTTTATGTGTGTGCGTGCGTGTGTGTGTGTGTGGTGTTTAAGCGTATGTACGTGTGTGTGTGTGTGTGTGTGTGTGTTGTGTGTGTGTACGTATATGTACGTGTTTGTGTGTGTGTACGTGTTGTGTGTGTGTACGTGTTTGTACGTGTGTGTTTATTTGTCTGGTTCTTTTTATGATTAATTACTTCGTTTATTTTACTCTATATTTTATTACGTTACGTGCCTGATTATGTGTGCTGCATTCGGAAGCAAACAATGAAAAATCCCACCAGAGAAAATATTCCTTTCTTTTTTTTTAAAGAAAAACTCATATTACTTCGTGTCAACATAACGATAATAATAATAACAACAACAACAATAATAATAATAGTAATAATAATAATAATAATAATATGATGATAATATTTTTCATATTATGATTCAATTAACATAAAACAATAATAACAGCTGGCTTAGCAAAGAATATTAATAATAATGATGATAATATTATGAATTTAAATAATAATAATAAATATAGCGCGTTATTATTAATTTTAATACTATTTTTGTCGTTGTTGTTGTTGTTGATGTTGTTTGTTCTTTACT